CTCATGATTGCTGCCTTGCCACCCTGTCTCACACATCTCTTTCCTCCTGACGCACCTCGACCTGGATCAGATTGGATAACACTACCTTGCTTTCCCGATGATCATAATTGTCCCTTGCTTTCTTTCTTATTTCTTTTTTTTCTCTTCCTTTTTTTTCTTCCTTTTTTTTTTTTTTTTTTTTTTTTTCTTTTTTCTTTTTTCTTTTTTCTTTCTTCCTTCTTCCTTTTTCTTCTTTTTTTGATTTCTACTTATTGTTCATTATTATTTATTTATTTATTTATTTATTTATTTATTATTGTGTGGACATGATGAATTCGTATGGACAAGTTTGCCATCCTGTCATTTCTGCATAAGGGGACAACGGGCGAGGTGGCGGTTGAAACAGTATGATTGGGACCTGACTCGACTTGGCGTACCACCATATCGGTGGAGTGCATGACGGACACGTCATGGGATTTTCTAGGACACACACATGGAGGGTTTTCCCCTCTAGCTACTGCCGATGGGTTGACTCCTACGGCTGCGCTTTGGAACCAGATCAGACCAATGGTTTAATACTGTAATAAGTCCACCTGGTTACCTGGATTTCTGCCCATAAATGCACATGGGAATGACATACTTACTGGATCTCTTGCCTCTGTTGTTGTGATGTCTTGGGTCTATGCGGATCGTTTGGTTTGTTGTTTGCCTTCTGTTCCTACCAAACCCCGTTAAATACACCTTTCTTTTTTTCCCCTGCTTTCCCCTGCTCCCTCTCCCGCTTCTCTTTCTCTTCTTTCCCCTTTATTGTATTCTACGGGCTAATCCTGAGCAGGAACCTTGGTATGGCATACTGTTTCTGGGGACGACCTCTACCTCCTGTCCTAAACACATCCTCTTCTACAATGCCCTCTATGTCATAGCTTCCATCCATATCCGGTGGAATCATGGATCTCCGGGAAGGGAACTGTTGACTAGTGATACACGGCAGCAGCTTTGAAGCATGAAACACAGGGTATGTGTGGAGGTGTGCTGGAATCTCAATGCTATAGGACGGTCCATCCTCTCCGCCCTTGACTTCTAGAACCAACCACGGTCCTCTATATGCAGGAAGTAACTTCTGTGAGATGTTTTCTTCCGGTGCAAACTCTTTTGCCTTGACCTAGACTAAGTCGCCTACTTGAAACTGTGATGGGCGACGGTGTTTGTTAGCCCGCTCTATCATTCTGTGCTGGGCCTTCCGAAGGTTCTCAACAACAGTGGCTAACTCCTTTTCGTGCTGTATCGCAAACTCCCTGGTACCGGGCGGTAATCTGTGAATCTGATCCCGGTTCAGTCCTTCGAACGGTCTGCGCGGTCTAAAGGACTTGTGCAACTCATTGGGTGTGCGGCAGGTGGATAGATGCACGCTGCTGTTGTATGCACTAGCTACCTTAGGCAACATGTCATCCCAGCTAATCTGCTCTGGTATAATGTACATGCGCAGAACTTGCTGTAGGATCTTGTTCATCTGTTCTGTCTGACCGTTAGTCTCTGGGTGACCGCCGGACGACATTAACAACTTAGATCCGTAGACTCTCATGAGTTCTTGCCAGTTCTGGCTGGTGAAACGACTATCTCTATCACTAACTATTGACAATGGGATTCCATTCTCACTAACCCAAAAGTCAAAAAACTTCTGTATAACTAGGTCCGTACGTGCCTCTGCAGGCAAAGGAACAAAAACTGCATACTTACTAAATCG